ATGAAACCACATTTGGTACAGCAGCTGCAATTGTAGGTACCACTTGTCGATCTTATGATAATGCACTGTCATTCTCCAGATTCATCTGTCTTCTGCCCAAGCCAAATGAAAGAGTTGAAAGGGGATGTGATGGGAAAGATGCACCTCTGCATCTTTCAAGTTCTTGACAGTGGCACTAATCTCCACAGTTCCTCCAGGGATGGGATATGAGTTTTGATTTACTATTTTTTCTGGGTAGAGGAAGCTCTAATGGTTTCCATTTGGCCTTTCCCACCATTATAGTCCTCATCTTACCTGTCAGAGAGCCCACGTGGGAGTTCCGCAAGCTGCTAAGTATGTCTATGCCAATTCTGCATTCTAGCAGTGGGGAAATGACCACAGGATAAGTCCAGGGACCTACTGGATGCACTAAAATTCAGACTTGAGCTAAAACCACATTAGTTACCTAACCCTCCATAAGCCACTACTTTAACTGGTGGACCACAGTGACATTTTGGGTCCCTGGGAATCAATGTAACTCAGAGCCAGTGTCCAGTAGTCCCTGAAATGTCTGATATTTTCCCTTTCTCCAGTGCACAGTTACCCCAATAAAAGGCTGGATGTCTCCTTGGGGAAGGACAGGAGAAAGATTAACAGCATAAACTGTCGGTAATGTAATGGGGTCCTTCCTCAAAAGGACCTAGCCTCCCCTTCATTCAAAGAGTTCTGTGACTGTAAACTTTGTCTTGAGTCTGGAAATTGATTGAGGGGCCATGATTCTCTGTTTTTTGTTTTTATTTTTCTTTTTTGAGATGAAGTTTCGCTCTTGTTACCCAGGCTGGAGTGCAATGGCATGATCTCAGCTCACCGCAACCTCCGCCTCCTGGGTTCAGGCAATTCTCCTGCCTCAGCCTCCTGAGTAGCTGGGATTACAGGCACAGGCCACCATGCCCAGCTAATATTTTTGTATTTTTAGTAGAGACGGGGTTTCACCATGTTGACCAGAATGGTCTCGATCTCTTGATCTCATGATCCACCTGCCTCGGCCTCCCAAAGTGCTGGGATTACAGGTGTGAACCACCGCGCCCGGCCTGATCCTTTGTTTTTATAATTCAAATTAGTCTTTTGTCCTTTCTACCTAGAAGTTGTCTGTTTTTATATATTAAGTAGAAATACAGTAGGCTTCCTATCAGTTTCTCTTCTAGGAACTCTGAGTAATTAGCCAATGCTAGAGCTCTACTCAAGTGAGACTATTCTGATTGCTTTTTTGTCACTGCTGTCCATTACAGTAGCTACGCTCACCTTGATTTTGATGGCTGAGTGCTGCCACTTGGTCCCTGCCATCTCAGGATCTAATTATTTCCATTGTATTTAAATTTTGTAGATGAGTGACTGTGGTTTCCATGGTTAGATCTGACATACAGAGAAAAGCAATTACAGGGCTTTTCAAAGATGAAGGTGCTGCCCACACAAATCTATATTGCAAGGCATTGGTTAAGGACATGTCTTCTGTAACCTCTCAGCTGATGAGTGGGCCTAAAGTGACTGATCCACTCCACCATCTCAGTCTCTCTAAGCCTTTGGATTCCTTCCTCTACATTAAACCAAGGGAGATCAGGCACAGTGGGCCATCATTTAATCCACATTTCAGCTAACCAAGCAAATAAACTCTAGAACCTTTTCTAACTCCCCAAGCTGCAATATTAAATGTAGAATCTCTACTTAGCGTGCCCAAATCAATAAATTTAACCTGATCCTCTGTGTTTCTTCCACCATTATCCAACACCCTTAATATCCATTCCCCTGCCTGTTCTCCAGATTTCTGCTTATATAAGTTAGAAAACTTAAGCAGTTATTTTTAAGTGTAGCACACCTCTAGGGACCCACTGGGACTTTAGTCTAGTTACAGGTCTAGAAGCAAACAGGGGTGTTGGGGGTGGCTCCTGAGAAGCATCAACATTATCTTGCCTGGCAACAGCCTCAGGTAGCACAGGGTTTATCTCCTCAGACCAAGGTAGAAAGGCTGATGGCAGCATGGATTGGGGAGGCATGAGAAGCTGTTCCTTCTGGCAAAAAAGGTTTATTGGAGTTTACAAGTGCAGTGTCACCAGCTTCATCAGGGTCCTCCCACACATTCTCATTCCAAGTTGCAGGGTCCCACTCTTTTCCAGTCAATGCTGTCACTTTAATGTAGACACCTGGTAAAGATGTGCATGCATTTTTTGTTGCAGACTAGCCACTCACATGATAAGAGCTTGTGTCTGTTTTCTCGCAATGTCAGCTCTTTCTCTACAGGAGATAGGACTCTCACTCAGGGAAATCTTAGCAGATTTGAGGCTCAGTGTCTGCTTCTGAAGCTGGGAGGTAGAATTCCTGAGTTCATCATTTTCTTTCATCACTTTGTCCACTGAACTTAGAAGCAACCAATCAGCATTATTATGTTCCTTGGCTCTCCACATATGGTTAAAGGTATTATGTAGAGGGTCACTAAACTTCTTGCCTCTCAAGAGCAGTGAATCAGGAGTGTCAAATGCATTTATTTTGCATAACTCTATAAATAGTTCACACCAAGAACCATCAATGTTCTCCATACTATTAGAAGTAGAGACCTTACCATTTTTGGTCTAATCAGATTAAGCAGCCAACTCCAGAAACCCTAAAACCAATGAAAGAACTCCATTCTTAATATTCTGTTCCTCTAGAACCACTCCTGATACCAAAATCTGTATTAGCCAGGGTTCTCTAGAGAAACAGAACTAATAGGAGACACACGCACACACACACACACACACACACACACACACACAGTGAAGTTTATTAAGTACTAACTTGCACAATAACAAGGTCCCACTGTAGGCCATCTGTAAGCTGTGGAGCAAGGAGAGCCAGTCTGATTCCCAAAACTGGTGAATTTGGAGTCTAATGTTCCAGGGCTGGAAGCATCCAGCATGAGAGAAAAATGTAGGCTTGGTGGCTAGGCCAGTCTGATCTTTTCACATTTTCCTGCTTGCTTTATATTCTAGCTGAACTAGCACCTGATTAGTTGGTGCCCACCCAGATTAAGGGTGGGTCTGCCTTTTCCAGCCCACTGACTCAAATGTTAATCTCCTTTGGCAACACCCTCACAGACACGCCCAAGATTAATACTTTGCATCCTTCAATTCAATGAAGTTGACACTCAGTATTAACCATCACACGTCATGATTGGTGTCCCATTTAGGGTCCTCCAATGGTACTTCTGTTTTTACAGTTGTATAAGGCTCTTCCCCTTCCTTGGCACTATATGAGATACAAAGCTCATCCCCAAACTCCTCTACCACCTGCAGGGCTGTCTGCTTCTCAGCAGTAGTCAGGATTTGATTCCAAAGTAAGATTACATCCTTCCAGGAGAGTTCAAATACTTGGGTTAAATTTTGTGGAGCCTCTATATACCTGTCAGGCTCATCTGCCAAGATCCCCTTTAATTTGTCTTAAGCCCTGTAGAGTTCAGGAGACTTGTACCTTAATGGGGCCGTATTCACAAGGCATTTCATATAGGGGCATGAGTGAGGCTGGGATCTGCCTAAAACGAAGATTTTTAGGATGGAGGCAAAACAATATGCAACATTTTTTCTTCCGTCTGAGGGGTCAAAGGAGTCCCAGTGATTCAAGATACACTTGAGGGGAGCACAGGCTGTAGATGGTTTGTTACCTGCTGGAAAAGAGAGGGGAGAAAATACATCCCTCAGTCTCTCCCTTGCTCATCTTGAATTTGAAGGATTCCTCAAATCTCAGTACCTGGTATTGGCTCCATGGACAGGCTCTTGGTGCTTATGCCATAAATGTGAGCATGATCTCCCCACCATGAAGCTGGAAGGACTAGTCGGCAGGGATAGTCATGCTTACCTGCACTATGTCCTAGCCTTCTATTGTTGACTGCCTCTGGATCCTCAGATCCAGTTTTCTTTTTAGGGCTCCAAAACAAAGCTTGAAAAATACACTGGAGTAATGCTAAGGTGAAGCTATAGAAATAGACCCTCCTCAGACAAAGGAAAGAAAGAGAACCCTGGGAACTGGGGACCTGATCTAATAAGATGTCTCCCAAAAGGAAAAAAATTAATCCCTCATATAGAAAAGCTCCTTGTATTTGCAGGATTATGTTGATTCCTGACATGGTGGGAAAAAAAACTACTTAAATGCAGAGGAGGGAAGGTGCCTGGGGGAAATAGCCTCTTGCACTATGCTAATGGATTTCTTCAATAGAGGAAGGGAAACTCCCTAAATTGTTGCATTTCCCTGTTTCTAAGAATGCACAGAAACGCCATTGTTTAGGATTACACTCCTGACGACTAAGCCAAGTATTAATTCTACTCAGTAATATTATCTCTTTGGGTTGTATATAAAGAGGGGATAGCAGCCAAAAGAGTCTTGAAAGAAAGAAAATGTGATAGGAAAGACTGGAAGTTTTGGTCTGACACTCGAACAGGCTGTCGGCGACTGGAGCCAGTCCAGGAGACTTCTGGTAACGTCAAGGTGTGGCCTTGGCCAGATGCCTTCAGTTGTCTCAGGACCTTATTTTGATCCCACATGACAGCTAGACCTCTGGAAGAGAAGCTGGATTGGAATAAAGCCAACATTCCCAACACCTGAGGGTGAAGGGGGATTGGCAAAATCCTCCCTAGCAAGCCTGTTCTCTGAAACTTGTAGACCAGCGGCTGTATTACCCACTCTAAACTGGCTGACAGAGGCCTCGTGTTCTATCCGTTTTTGGAAAAATATTTGAGGACAGGAGCTCAGAATGAAAGCAGAGAGGCATAGGTCTACTTGCACTGTTTCATTGATCCTGGATGAACTCCCAGAAATATTGTGGGATTTGTGCTCCTAAGTTTGGTGAGTGGGAAGGAGTGGCATCCAGTGGCTTCTTCACTCCCATAGCTCAGTAAGCAGGAAGGAGTGGCACTCGGTGGCCTCTTCCCTCTTCTCTCCTTTAGTGCAGCAAGTGGAAGGGAGTGTTACAGGTCTTTTACTCTCTCTGCCCACAGCTTGGTGAGCAGGAGTGTGACTGCTTTCATTCAAGCAGTTCAGAGATTTCTGGATTCTTGTCTGGTGACCAAAAGAATAAGGTATGCATCACTATAGAGCGACTAAGGCAGAGTAGAATTGCATTCAGTGACACAAAGAAAGCTCTCAGCAGCAAGAGGGAACCCAAAAGCTTGTTGCCATCTGTCAGGCTGAGTCTGGAGTTTTTATAGGGTTAGAATGGGGGAATGAATGTGGATTGATTGGTCCATGGGTGGGACTGGAAAAGGCACCATTTGTTTGGTTAAAAGGCATCATTCAGAAGGAACCAATTGAGAGAGAGTAGATAAGATGGGGATGGAAGTTCTCACTCTGGTCCTGGACTTTATTTGGAACTGGCAGCTCAGTTTTCAGGCTTTAGGCTGTCCTTGCTTGAAGGTTGAGTTTCACCAGGGACCCATACCTGTCCACCTATGAATTTGTCTATCTTCTGTCTGTATCAATGGAACACTGCCTAATAAAGTTGTGAGAAGAGGGCCACCATCCTGTAGACCCCAGAAGGGTAGGTCCACTGACGGCTGCACCATGCACCTGGAAAAGCCACAGACACTCAACTCCAAGCCATGGAAGCAGCTGGGAGGGGAGCTATACCCTGCAAAGCCACAGGTGTGGAGCTGCCCAAGGCCATGGGAGCCCACCTCTTGCATCAGCATGACCTAGGTTTGAGACATGTAGTAAAAAAAGATCATTTTGGAACTTTAGGGTTTAGTGACTGCCCCGTTGGCTTTTAGACTTGCATGGGGCCTGCAGCCCCTTTGTTTTCACCAATTTCTCCCATTTGGAATGGGAGAATTTATGCAATGCCTGTACCCTCATTGTACATAGGAAATAACTAAATTGATTTTGATTTTACAGGCTATAGGTGGAAGGAACTTGCCTTGTCTCAGATGAGACTTTGGACTTGGACTTTTGGGTTAATGCTGAAATAAATGAAGACTTTGAGGGACTGTGGGAAGGCATCATTGGTTTTGAAATATAAGGACATGAAATTTGGGAGGTGTCAGAGCAGACTGATATGGATAGTTTCTGTGGCCCCACCTAAATCTCATCCTGAATTGTTATCCCCATAATTCCCACATTTTTAGAGTGAAACAGGTGGAGATAATTGAACCATGGGAGTGGTTTCCCCCATGCTGTGCTCCTGATAGTGAATGAGTCTCACAAGATCTGATGTCTGGCATTTCCCCTGCTTGCACTCATTCTGTCCTGCTGCCCTGTGAAGAAGGTGCCTGTTTCCCCTTTGCCTTCTGCCATAATTGTAAGTGTCCTAAGGTCTCCCCAGCGATGTGGAATTATAAGTCAATTCAAGCTCTTTCCTTTAGAAATCATCCAGTCTCGGCTATTTCTTCATAGCAGTGTGAGAATGGAATAATACAGGGTTGTATATCAGAAGTCATATAAAGATCAATGAATATCAAATAGGTATATTTACATTTTGTCATGAGGTTCTGTCAAGCCACTCTGACTTTAATAAGCAGACCACCTTAGCTGTTTTGTCATCTTAAGTCTAGCTAGCAAAATAAAACACTGTATCAATGTAGCAGTATATGTGAAAGGGATTTGTAAATTCAGTCATAAATATGAGTACTATTTTTTACTAATGGAATCTTTTTTTTTTTGAGATGGATTCTTGCTCTGTCACCCAGCTGGAATGCAGTGGCTCAATTTTGGCTCACTGCAACCTCCACCACCTGGGTTCAAGCAATTCACCTGCCTCAGCCTCCCAAGTAGCTGAGACTACAGGCATGTGGCACCACACCTGGTTAATTTTTTTATTTTAGTAGAGACAGGGTTTCTCCATGCTGACCATGATGATCTCGATCTCCTGACCTCGTGATTTGCTTGCCTGCCTCGGCCTCCCAAAGTGCTGGGATTATAGGTGTGAACCACCGCTCCTGGCCACTCATGGGAAATTTTTAAGTGTGGCTTCTTCTTGTGACCTGTGAACATGAATGTGATGATAGCTACTATTACAAAAATACTCCTTATTCTCTACTCTCAAGGATAGTGATTCACTAGAAACAGTTTCTTTTAAAGTACTTTGAGATCAGGGAATGCCTTTCATAGTTCCATATCCCAGGCATTTAGCTTGCCACTTACACATTAATACATTTTTCTGAATGAATTAATAAAAAGTATGTGAACGTTCCAGAAGATTCTGTTGTATTCCTACTCTTTGTGTGGTGGGAGGGGGAAGCTAAAATCAAGAAGGCTTCACTTAATTATTTTTATCTGTTCATCTTCTGAATAGTCTTAGGAATCTTCAATTTAACCAATAGTCTTAAATAATCTTACTAAGGATTTTTAATACATTTAATGAGTTATTATAAATCAAGAATAGGGATAGAAAATTGGCAGTCCATAGACGCATTTTGTTTGGTCCTCCTAATGTTGACATTTCTCAGGGTTAAACAATTATAATAAAAATTTACTGTCAGCATTCAAAATTTATTCTAATCACCTAAATATGTATTTGTTTCTCTTTTTCTTCTCCAGCCACACTAGCCTCCTGCTTTTTTTGGAAAATGCCACATTGGACTTCGAACTGGCTTTTTCCTATGCCAGGAATGTTCTTCCCTAAATGTCATCATGATCAATTCTATCACTGTCTCAGTCTTCATTCGCATGTCACCTTCTCTATGAGGCCTTGCCAGATTGCCGCATGTGTAATTTCATACATTATCCTCTACAAAATTCTCCCTATGTACTTCCAATCTCTCTTACCCTGTTGTCTTTTCCTTTCCACTGCATTTTTATCTAACATTTTATGTGATATACTTGAATATATTTATTATCTATTTTCTGTCTCCTCAATATATTATAAGCTACATGAGGGTTGGGATCTTTTTGTCTGTTTTTGTGTATGTTTACTAGTGTATTTCAGGCAACTGGAATAATGCCTGATAAATTAAGACTGTCAATAAATATTTGTTGAACGACTCAATGAAAACCCCAAATATATGGCTTTTTGAAAAAAAGCACTACCTCTTAACATTGTGCTTACATTCGTACACCCCCTCCACCATTTGTTGGAACTGAGAGGCAGCAGGTGCTTTAGGCAAGACATGCATGCATTCCTCAGCCCTCTACAGCCATCACCACCCTACTTGTGTTCCCAGTGCTGAGCCTTATCTGCTTTGGCATTTATCTTCATATTTTGTAATTTATTTTTTTAACAGTAAAGAGGAGAACTATGTCTAATACTCATGTCTATATCAAAAAGGGGTAACATGGGAACAAGAAACAGCAAGAAAGTTATGTTTACTGAAACAAGGGGGACAGTATATTCTATGTTGAGGTGAAGAATTGATCTATGTGTTAAACCTGTAGAATGCATCTCTTCATATGCCCACCTAATTCATGCCTGGCTTTTGAATGTCTGACCTCTGCTCTAAGTGGTCATAACTGCAACTTTACTTAAAATTCAAAGATAAGAAGTATGGAAGCATACATTATCAGAAAGAAGATACATATTATGGAAGCTTGTAGTAAGATCAAGTATCTTGAGTTGCTAATAGTGGAATTTAGTTATTTTACTGTGGAATTTTATTACATTTTAAATTGCCAAACTACATGGAAATAATCTTTGTGGATATCTACAGAAAATGAAATTTTCAGTTAGCTAAGATGCTATCACTTTAGGCATAAACTTGCATTTATAGCTGGGCATGTAAAGCAAACAGATGCCAACTGGTTGGGACAGTACTATTTGGCATGTCCCCTTAGCCAATAATGCAAATAAGTTAGCCTTGCTACAGCAAAGTTTTGCCTTGCCTTTGAGGAATGGAAGCAGATGAAAGTAGAGAAGAGATGTCCATACTTTCTATCCACAAAACTAATCAGAAAATCATAGACATTTATTCAGAGTAATACCATAACTGAAATAGATGAATCCATGAATTCTTAATTTAGCAAACCTGTGAAAAACTAGGTGACCATTTTCAAAAGCTGTTCCATTTGTTGACTTTTGTGTAAAGCATTGTCTAGCACTGTTTCAGCACCCAATATTGACAGAAATGGTCACTTATGTCATCATATGGCACATACTTTGAACCTTCCTGTGCTTTTGGTTACCTGTCTTTCTATTTTGTGTACTCCCCCTTTGAATATTTTTAAGTTTGCAACACTTTTATGTGATTATCACAGTGTTAAACAAAAGTTATAATTTAGTGTCTAGGATTATTATTATTTTTGAGACAGAGTCTTGCTCTGTTGCCATGCTGGACTACAGTGGCGCAATCTCTGCTCACTGCAACCTCTGATTCTTGGGTTGAAGCGATTCTCCTGCCTCAGTCTCCTGAGTAGCTGGGGCTGCAGGTGTGCACCACCACACCCAGCTAAATTTTTTTTGTATTTTAATAGAGACAGGGTTTCACCATGTTGGCCAGAATGGTCTCGATCTTATAATTTTCCCACCTCAGCCTCCCAAAGTGTTGAGATTACAGGTGTGTGAGCCACTGTGCCTGGCCATGTCTAGGATTATTTTACATGTAACATATAACTGACCCTTTTTAGATGTTTTTATTATTGCATAACAAGCTTATCAAAAAGAAAAATTGAGTGACTTAGAAATAATTGTCATTAAATTGTAATTATTAATCTGTTATCATTAAAGTCAGGATAAGATAGCTGAGCTGTATTGCAATTTCAATTACAAAAATGGGTGCTTATTTTTCATTTTGTAAGCCTGCCAACTACAGCATATATTAGGCAGTGAATGTAACATGATAAGTCATTCAATTCAGCAATTTCCAGTTGGTCAGATACATCTTCAGGCAAATTTAACCTTTATAAGTCTTATTCTTGGTCTCTGCTTTGTAGAGAATACACAATTGTTTATTTTAAATGAAAATTATATTTAGAGGGATATGATCTAAAAGTCATTGATATTTCCACTTCTATCAATTTTAGGTTACATGCTGCCAGGCAAGAGGAATTAATAAAAGCTTAGAAAGTCTTCATTCATTTTCAAAGTATACTTCTAGTGGAGAAACTGCCTTACTTTCCAAATCTTAATAGAATATGTTCTTTATTGATAAATATC